TACTCTATTCCATTCCATTCTCAAATTCTATTCTATTCTATTCTATTCTGTCTGAGCAGCAGGTTAGACTAGACAACCTCTAAGATCCCTTCCAATTTTGTTAATTTTGTGATCCCATTAAAAGGAGAATCAAGCCCAGGCCTTTTGGGAAAAAAAACAACCCCCCAATTAAAAATGCACGAAAGTCAATCCTCCATCCACCCCATGGAAGCTTCTCGCTGTGTTTTGATTTCCCAGCGGGGATCCCAAGTGCATTTTCCAAAGCAGCCTTTTAGCGCAGCTGTGACTTTTTGGCCTCTGCGTTCCTGAGGTGTTTACGTTACGGGCAATTTTGAGTTCTGGGAACAAACCGGCCGGCCGTGGGGACAGGACATGTGGGGGTGGACAGGGGGGGAGCTGCTGAGGGGGGTGGGGGAGAAACAAAACTTAATTTGAACCCGTGAGCTTTTTTGGCCTGGGGTCAAGAAAGGCCGGGAGGGAGCCTCTCTTTGAACACAGCAAGGGGGACGCTGCTGGCCAGGCGTGGATTGACTCATACGGGCCATTTGAACTGGGATATGGGTAGACGCAAGACCAAAATGGAGAGCACACACACACACACACACACACAATTTCTGTCGCTAAGTGAAGCATTTAGGGCACACCTTGCCTCGTTGTGCAAACTTTCCTGCCACCGTTGTTCATGGAGTTGTGAATGCAGGGCGGTCCTTGTCTTACTACAACCACGACCGAATCCCCAATGCCTGTCGCTAAGGGAGTCATTCCTTCCGTGAATGCTGCCCCATTTTACCACAGTTGACAGGCGAACCCCTGCAGTTGTAAACGCAGGGTGGTCCTCATCTTACGACCACAACCGAGTCCCCAACGTCTGTTGCTAAGCGAGACATTTGTCCCGTGAAAGCCATCGGTCCTAGATGGAAGGTAAGTTGGTAGCCATTGTTTTTCCTGCAATCCTAATACTCTCTGGAGTCTGTGTCTGTCCTGTTGGGTTGCAGAACCAAGCCAGACAGTTATAGAGGTGCAGATGACAGACTCAAGGATTCCTCTGTAGAACTGGATCAGCAGCTCCTTAGGCAGTTTGAGCTTAAAGGCTTAAAGGCGGAAGAATCAAACCCAAAATATTTGGCATAACAGTGTTTCATCCTTCTGTTAATTTCACACAGAGGGAATCCTCAACTTACAACCATTACAATGTTGTTTTTTAATGACCTAATAGTAGAACGGTTCAGTTCAAAAAATCCAGGCACTCCTTGACCTATGATGGTTAGCTTAACCACTGTTGAAAGTCACAAAGGCACTGAGAAAAAAGGGAGTTCTTTGTGAACTGAAGAAGCTTCTTGGATGAGGAGCGAAACGTCTTCAAAGAGAACCTTGCGGGGGAAAAAGCATCTTTGGGACCACCATGACTGGGATGACTGAGAATTTCCATAGACACAGTTTCTTAGTTTCTAGCCTGATGCACGTAACTCTTTTACTACATGTATTTTAAACTATATTGGGCTGCATTTTTACAGCACACGAATAACAGAACAGAATTACAGTGTTAGAAGGGACCTTGGAGGTCTTCTAGTCCAACCCCTTGCTCAAATAGGAAGCCTTATGCCAGTTCGGACAAAGGAGTGTCCAATCTCTTCTTAAAAACTCCCAGTGTTGGAGCATTCACAACTTCTTGTGGTAAGTTGTTCCATAGAAGAAACTGTTTTCACTGTCAGGAAATTTCTTCTTAATTCTAGACTGGATTTTTCCCTGATGGGTTTCCATCCAATGCTTCTGGTCCTGCCTTCAGGTGCTTTGGAGAATAGCTCGACTCCCCCTCTTCTTTGTGGCAGCCCCTTAAATACTGGAAGATGCTACCATGTCCCCCTTACTCCTTCTTTTCATTAAATTAGACACACACAATTCTTGCAACCATTCCTCATACGTCTGAGCCTCCAGTCCTTTAATCATGTTTGTTGCTTAAGGTTGTCCTCCCCCCTCTTTGGAAGAGCTTTAGAACCTATGCTGCCTTAAGAAAGTTCAAAACGTCCTCAAAGATCCCTCTTATCCTGGGAACCCCTTTTTTGAACTACGACCATCTGGCAGACGGTACAGGATAATAATAAAAACAAGAGCAAATAGGCTGAAAAACAGCTTCTAATGCATAAATGAAGGCTAGCAGTCTGGCACTCGGTCTTAAACCAAAGTTGCAAACTACAAATGACGTTTGTCAAACTCTTGTTTCAGCTCACTGTGGAATTCTCTCATTTTACTAAGATGGACGGAGCAAAGCAAGAAATGTGCTCATCTATGCTGGCTTATCAGGAACAAATTAATAATATCTGCATAACCAAAATTTTGCTCCTCCCTGGATAGATTCCCGGTGTTAAACTGAAAATGTTTTTCATCCACTCCATTTTAAAAAAGCAACATTGTGCACACGGAATGCAGTATTGATATAACTTTCATCCTTATCTCAATAGGAAATAAATGATGAATGATCAATTTCACTTACTCCAGCTCTTACCAGACCGGCCCAAACATTCCCGGGTTTCTGGATTCCAAATGAAAGTTTTAAATTCTTTAATCCTTTCGCCTCGCGTTTTCTTGCCCATCGTTTCTTCGTTCTTCTGTTCCTCTTCTGCATCCAGCTGATGTCTCTCTTCATCCTTATTTCCCTGGAATGATGACAAAGCAAATCCCGTACACAACATGAGCAAAATGTACTGGCCTACTTTTGCTGGTTGTTTTCATTTCTTCTTTCCACCACCCCCTACCCTCTGATCCATCATTCCTTCCCAGGAAAATAATTCCATTTGTCAGAAATAAGCACCGGTGGCTTTAATCTCCAGAGTCGGTGGTAAATTTCCATTGTGTCATCATTGCTTGCTCCTTATCAAATCTTTTCCAAGTGGGAAGAAGTTTTAAAGAGAAAGTGTGAGAACGCTTGGGCAACTCAAGGGTTGCTGAATATACCCAAATGATGAAGGCAGGCAGACCTACATAAATGTTTTGGGGGTGAGATAATTGGATCCTTCATCCAAAGAACCCAATGGAGCTTTTTTTTTTTTCATCCTTTTCCAGCACTACTCAAGAAAAATTCTCTCTGAATGGGGAGGAGGAGGAAGAGGAGGAGGGAGACTGTGCGGTCCTTGGTGCTCTCTGAGGATTCTTGGCTGTTTGCTTGCCAATGTTTTATTGCTCAAGAAGAGAACGCCATCAAGGCTGCACGGTGATGAGGGCTAGCACTGATGAGATGACCTAGTAGGGTAATGAAACGTCTGCAAGGAAACTAGCAAGCTCAGAGAGCACCAAGGACCCCATAGCTGCCGCCTTCCTCTCTTCTCCTCCTCTTCCTTCCTCTTCTTCCTCTTCCTCCCTGCAAACCTCACCCCATTTTAGCACTGATGATGTTAATTGAAAGCCACTCTTTCAAAGGCTTAATTGCAGTGACACCCCCTTCTCAAGGAGCCACTTCATCCCCCTTCCTCTTCCTCCATCCCAGAGATGGAATTGCTGATGAGTCACTTCTACCCATCTACCAGTATGGCCACGGTCCTTTTTAACCAAAAGAGCATCGTGGTTTTTTTTAATTTTGTATTTTATTTTATACAAACAATTCATCTTCCATTTAAACAGTGTGTCATCTGGGTACAAATACCTTGTGCAATAACAATGACAGTTAATACAATATTCATTACTATAGTATCAATATTCTATTCTTACTTTATACTACCATGCATAATATGTCTAGTTATTATAACAATCCCCTTCTTAGCATATTTAATTCTTATTCACGTGCTTACTATTTTTTGCTAATTTTCTTTCATTCCTAATTTCCATATTTATTCTCCAGCCATTGATAAAATAGATAATACCATGTAATGTTCAGTTGGTTCCTTTCCTTTAATTGCAAGGGTTAGCCTATTCATCTCTGCACATTCTAATATTTTCCTGATCATCTGTCGGAATCTTTTAACTTTTTCCAATGTTGTGCAAATCCAATTCTAGCTGCAGTTAATACATGAATAATTAGGTATGCCTTTACTATAAGAAAAGAAAGAAAGAAAGAAAGAAAGAAAGAGAAAGAAAGAAAGAAAGAAAGAAAGAAAGAAAGAGAAAGAAAGAAAGAAAGAAAGAAAGAAAGAAAGAAAGAAAGAAAGAAAGAAAGAAAGAAAGAAAGAGAAAGAAAGAAAGAAAGAAAGCATCATTTTAAGCAGAGCACTCAAAGGAAAGTAGATAGGCTGGTTAATCTAGAAGCAAGGACAATGATGGAGATGATGAGAGAAACACACAGGTAGCTCTCGACCTAAAACAGATAGTTTAGTGATCATTTGAAGGTTACCATGGCACCAAAAAAGTGACTTATGACCGTTTTCCATGCTTACGACCATTGCAGCATTCCCATAGTCACGCCATCCAAATTCAGGCGCTTGGGAGATAATTAGGAAGAGACTGTGTTGCACAGAAATGGACAGACTTACGTGGAAGATTAAACAGAAGACGCAGAATATTATCAAACGTGGAACTTATTCTACCAGTGGTTGGAAAAAAGGGGGCGGAGAATAAGAAGGTAATCTGTACTGCTAAGCAAATAAAATAAGCCAGACAACACAATGTTTATTAAGCACTAATGAAACAATAGAACATTAATAAAACTTTGTTTTTTTAATTCAAACACTTGGCAACTAACTGATATTTATGACAGTTACAGAGAGTTCTGACCCAGGCTTCCCAAGATCATGAAGCAGATTCTCTGTCCCGATAAAACCCCTTTTATTTAGTTTAAAGTGAATTCCTCTCTAGCAAAGTCCCGGCAAATAGTCTTTCAAGAGATTTCACAACTACAGACCTTTATCAGGCTGGGAGAGTTGCCAGGATGATATCTTCCAAACGCCAGGCTGTAGCAGCAATTACTTGGCAAGAAGTCAGGAACAGATCTTCACCCTAATGAATTGAACTAATTGTCTCCTGCAAACACCACTCCCCCTTTCACTCCTCTTTATTCCCCATGGGAGGAGCCATTCACCATCCACCTGTACCCTTACTCCCGAGTTGACCCTTGTTCCTTAACTGTTCCCTTCTCCTGGCAGCTCTGTGCATGTGCACATTGGGAACAGGCTCCGGCTGTTCTTCTGCCCCACTGATGTCCGACTCTGAAGGCAGCTGATAATTGCCAGCCTGCCCTGGCCCCATCTCTGCCTCCGACGCAGAGCCCTCATCAGAGCCTTCCCCAGACTCCAGGACTGGCCCTTGTTCCTCCCCAACCTCCTCACTGTCAGAGTCTGCCACCAGCTCTGCTGGCCATTGATGGGCCACAACACAGAGTCTTGGAGTCATGTGATCCCATTGACAAGCAAAGTCAACAGGGATGCCAGATCCACTTCGCAACCATGTTACTAACTTCAAAATGGCAGTGCTTCACTTAACTATGGTGGCAAGAAAGGGCATAAAATAAGGCAAAATTAACTTAGCAGCAGTCTCGCTCACTTAGCCAATGAAATTTTGGACTCTGCGGTGGTAGTACGTCAACCTGTTTTCTACACCTGGCAAAATGGTTATACAGTCAACAAGCTACAATTAAGAGGGGTCACAGAATACAAGCCACTTCGTAGCACAATCGCTATCCTGGTCAGATCTAACATCTACGATGTTCAGGAAAGTGGCCCGTTAGGTACATAGAGATTAAAATGGCTGCCAAAAACCAATGTAATTTTACCAATGTTGTCATCCCACAAATACTGACATTGCAATTTTGGACACACCTTCCTGCAATTAAATTTCCTTGAAACCTTTCAATGTGGCCAGGGAGGGAAGGGTTAGTTAGCCACTTTGGTTCACAAACCATGGTTTATGTATTAACATGTTATGCATACCCTGGAAAATCACATTTTATGCAATCATACAGTTAAACAAACCACAGTTTAATGTGATGCATGAATCTAGAGAATGAGAAACTCATTTGGGGTTTATTGAAACAAGCCGATAGTGCCAAAAAATACTTGGATGGCACATACCCTTCTGGGCAAGAATGCTTGAATCAAGCCACGTTCAAATCATCTTAAGTCCGTGAAGGTCCAGTTAATGATTTGCCTCAATGAAACTGGCCATATTTTGGACTCTGACTTCATTATTCCCCATTGAAAACAACATCAATCCACTGCAGCTTTTCTATTCTTCAACAAACGATTCCATCTGCCTAATTACGCCCAACCCTTCGTATTTTCCTTTCTCCTTCTAAATATTCCACACCTGGGGCATCAGCTAAGCCCAGAAAAAGCTGGTATAAATGCAGTTTTTGGCACAGGCCTCCATCGAATTAAGTTTAGCAACGTGGGGACGCTGGAAGAGAATCAACACCCAGTAAGGTTCAACTTACCAGGATTTGGAGTTGGTTCATGTGATGTTCTTTGGAAGCTCCAGAGGTGTCATTTGTAGCCATTGCTTTGTAAAAAAAAGAAAACCTCCCCCCCTAAAAAAAACTGCAAAAGGGGAAATAGTATCAAGATGTAAAGCCAGCTGCAGAATTAAAGAACTGAACCACTTCTACCAGCTTCACAATGTTCAACCGAGGTTCTTTTCTGAAAACCATCCAGTCGCGCGTTTTAGAAAGCAAGATTCGGGTTGTTCCTCGGGGAATGCAATACCCCAAAATTGACGGTTGAAACTTTTGGGGACTTCTTCGCTGCCAGTGCCAGGTGACTGGCTGTTGCTCTTTCAATGTTGCCCCCAGGAGGAGAAATGCAGTTGGCAGGCCATCAAGAGTGGGAGGGTTGCTTTCCCCGGGCAGGTGATGTCATGTAATTCAAGGCTAAATAAGCATTGAATGGCCCTGTCCATCAAAGACCACCGGAGAAGGAGAAGACCTTGTCTAAGAGAAAGCAGAGCCGTCCTAATTGTATCTAGGCAAGCCTGGGATCAGTTTTTAGACACCGTTGTGACACCGTTGGGCTTGAATGGAGAGCAGAGAGGGACAATACGAGCAAACATGTTCCTGTCAGTCACGGCCGGGTGGACGGGACCATAGAGAGTTTGTTTGATTGCTCTGAAAAGTTCAGGGACTCAGAGGTGGCTATATTTACCCATCTGTGCTCATTCAGGCTGGGCGGATGGGATTCTGCGGGGTCAGTTTTCCCGGCTGTCTAAAGTTCCACAAATCATCTCAAAAACCTCCAAGGAGAGCCAGAGGCCTCCACTTGCCACCGTGATGAAGTTGGGTGCTCCAGTTGGGTTCCTGGTGGCATGAAATGAGCCTTCCTCACACACACACACGCACACACCCCAGTTTGGGGGTATCCAGCACTGAGGCATTCATCTTGGTATCTCAGCCTTGCTTTGCCTCTTTGGGCAATGGCTTAATTAGGAGCAGTTCTCCGAGCCAAACTTTAAACCAGGGATGTCCAACCTTGGCAACTTTTAAGACCTGTGGACTTCAACCTCCAGAATTTGCCAGCCAACTGTGCTTGTTTCATGTTTTCGTGTTTCATTTTTAGATCGTAAATCCCTGAAGATTAAAACATCCATCCATCCATCGGTTCTTTCCTAAACATCCTGACCAGAGCCAGTGCTATGAAAATTAGGAATGTACCCGTTGTTTCAAAACTTCTCTAATGTTATCTTAAGTTTAATGTAGTTTAAATTAATACCAGTTCAGTTGTTCTCACCCACCCATGGATGCGGGTGTCTGCTATGGTGCACATTTTGACCCTTGCATTCTAAAGTCATTGATATTAGAATTAGAATAGCAGAGTTGGAAGAGATCTTGAAGGTCTTCTAGTCCAACCCCTGCTTAGGTAGGAAACCCTACACCGCTTCAGACAAATGATTGTCCAATAGCTTCTTAAAAACTTCCAGTGTTAAGAGCATTTACAACTTCTGGAGGCAAGTTGTTCCTCTGATTAATTCTGTCAAAAAATTTCTCCTTAGTTCTAGGCTGCTTCTCTCCTTGATTAGTTTCCATCGATTGCTTCTTGTCCCGCCTTCAGGTGCTTTGGAGAAGAGCTTGACTCCCTCTTCTTTGGGGCATCCCCTGAGATATTGGAAGACTGCTATCATGTCTCCCCTAGTCCTTTTTTTCATTAGACTATAGATAATTACTGCAACCGTTCCTTATATGTTTTAGCCTCAGCTCTCTAATCATGTTTGTTTCTCTTTTCTGCACTCTTTCTAGAGTCACAACATCTTTTTTGATCGTGGCGACCAAAACTGGAGGCAGTATTTCAAGTGTGTCCCTATTCCCCCACTGGTGTATTTAATATGCCTCCTGTGATCTTTTCAATCTGCTTCATGGCCTTGGTGACCCACAGCATGAAAAAAAAAATGTCTACTCTCCCATCAATGGTGGTGTCATGCCCCTGTCGGAGTCTGAATTCAAGGAGGAAGACAGAACAGCTGACAGGGAGTGGGAGTGTGGCTCTGTGGGCTGTGGAAGAAACTGGGGAAGGGCAAAGTCCGGCTGGGCAGAGCATGGAAGATGTAGAACAAGGGAGAGGGAATTCAGAGGAAGACCCAGGCCCACCCTGTCTTCATCCTAGGGCATGCAAGGAGGAATGGAGAAAGGAACAACGTGAGTTGCATGGCTTACGGGGGAGGAAAGGGCCCCGATTCCCTTCATTAGACACACCTGGGAAGAATGTTTAAAAGAGATGCATGCTGAGCGCAGCATCTTCTGGGAGCAAATGGTGAGTTTATCTTGTGTTGACTTTGTTTATCTGTGTTCCTGGCATCCTTCCAACCGTGTTGAATTATTGCCATTCCTTCATGTCTGGAATTCCTTCTCTTGCCCTGCCGGACTAATTACCTCATTTTGCCTTGATTGGACTTATAGTTACAGTTTTTGTTGACCACATTTTGGACTTGATTCTCTGCAGCCAAAGGCTGTTCCTGGGAGAGTTTTTCTCCAGCCCTGAAGGTAACCAGGACACTGGGGGCAAAGTTGGAGCTAATAAAGGGACTCCTACTGATTATCTGACTGTGTTGCCTTTCTGCCACGCCCCTTTGGGTCATCACAAGCGGTTAACTATGAGGCAAGAACTAGCGGAGTTTCCCCAGACTGCTCTACGTAGGCATTTCTCCAGAGCAGTGTTCCTTAACCTCTGAACCTTGAAACTGCGTGGACTTCAACTCCCAGAATTTCCCGATCCGAACCTCTTCAAAGTCCAGACGATGAGAAATGCTGCTCCAGTCATGAGAGAGTTGAGCAGTTCCCTTTAACCAATTAAACCACCAGTTAAACCAGTGGAAATTAGCTAACTAATGACACTGTAGGGGAAATTATTTATCACTGGTATCTTTTATGTACACTGAGAGCTTCTGCACCGAAGACAAATTCCTTGTGTTTCCGATCCCGCTTGGCCAAGGAAGAATTCTATTCAAAAAAACAAACCCTAAATCCATTGAAATCCAGATCTGAGATTTGGCAAAATGATCCAAATTATTTCGCTGGCTTCCAGCTGGGACTTCCAGCCCTCCGGCCACTGTCCCTTTATCCCCATGTCTCCTGTGAATATGATTTATCTATTTTTCCCATCACTCCCTCTCTACAGATCATCTCCAATGAATTGTGTGCCCCCATCACCCTACAGAAAGAGGCCACACTGACAAAAAGGAATAACACTCTCTACATAGCCAGATAGATGTGTTTTCCAAAGCTGCTTCTATTTTTGGCTCTTGGGTGATCAAGTTACACTGACCAGATTGATGTCTGGTCTTTCCCCCTCTTTTTAAATTATCTTCTGCCCCCTCCTGGCTACATCTGACCCCCAAAGAAAGGATTTAATCCCCAGAGAGACTGGGACTTCACAGGACTGACTTTTGATTTGGATTTTTATTTCAGAAGGTTCCTTGAGCCTTAAAACCTGCCTGAGAAATCTCCTCCCAAGAAATATACACCCTGAATTTTAAAATTCTGAGCCCCACAATCTTTTAGATCTCGATTGTGTTGCTGAAGAAGAATTCACATTGAAGGCACAGCTATACTTTTCAGATCTGCTTATTTCAGAGTTTATCAGGACAGTTTTGAACCAATATAGCTATTTTATGAGGGGGAAAAAATGGTGGTTTTTTTCTTCTTATTGGGTCTTATCCCACAGAAGGCCTTTTCCCAAAAAGCTACTGCAATACATTTTGCTTACATGATGTAACTTTCTCCTTGTTTATGAAGAGCTTGCTCGATACCTGTGCTTCACTACGAAACTATGTGGTAGTTTTGGGGGGAAAAAATAAGGGGAAAAAACTCTGCCTCTCCCTACCAGCATCCATCAGTATTCCTCTGGCTAGCGTCTTGTCAGTGTGTGAGGGTTGAGGGCTGTTTGGAAACTGAAAGCATATTTGCTGTGTGAGCAAGGAGACAGCAAGGAGCCTGGGTATGGCTTAGCTCAACTGTTTTGTACTAAAGCTGCGTGGTGCTCTGAAACTACAACTGAAACTCCTCTCTTCTGCTTGTGTTTTGCATTTGGAACAGATTTCTTTCCAGGTGGGTAGGGGGAGTAGAACTCCTTAGCATCAGTGTAATAATAATAATAATAATAATAATAATAATAATAATAATAATAATAATAATAATAATAATAATAATAATAATAATAATAATAATAATATAGGAAATACTAATGCTCTGACGGTCATTTCAAAAAATCCTTTTTTAGTGAGCACCTAGAAGCCAAGAGGAACAAACATGCCACATTTCAAGTCTGTAAGCTTTTGGAGATTTTGTGATGATGCGTGAGGGGTATTTCGCTTTTTTATGTATAGATTTTGTATATTCCCTTAAAAAGACATTTGTTTTGCAAAGACCTTATTCTTTCCTAACTGATTCCTCCTCTTCGAATTATCTGGGAAGTAGCTCAGGCTGGACCTTGAACATCAAAATCCATAAGTCATATATCATCCAACCTAAGTGCTTTTTGAAAATCCTCTTTACATTAAACCTGCACATTTATCCGAAAATACGCCCAAGAGCCATTTATTGCAAACCGCAACCCTTAAAAATAAAAAATTAAAAGACAGGCGAGATAAATCCGGCCTAAGATATTCCTAGCAGAGGAAGCAGCCAAAATTATATAAATACGTTCTTAAGGAAAGGTTGGCCTGTCCCTCTGCAAGGCCGGCGAATAATGCAGGTTTTGAAGGATCTTTCTCTCCAAGCCGACAATCTTGAAACCTTCGATTGGCTGAACGTGGCACGGATGCATCTCGGAGACCATTTTCATCTCCCGAGCCAAGATCTATTATGATCGTTGCCTTTTTGGGAATTTGGGCTTGCGCGCCTGCAGTTTGCATTCCAGGCGCAATTCCGGCACTTGGGAAGGGTTGGGGTTTTTTTTTTTTTTTTCCCTCCCCTTCCTTGGCTTTGGCATCTCCCCACCTCTGCAGAGGCGGAATCCAAAAGAAGCCGTCCCCTTTCCGTGCCCACCTACCCTCCCGACCCTGGATCGAAGCGCAAGGCTCATCCACCCTTGGAATCCGGCGCATCTCAAGCCCGCGGGGTGGGTAGGTCGGTGGGAGCGAGCCGGCGGCGAATCGGCGCAACAGCTGGGACACCATCACCATCACCACCACCAACCCCGTCCGCCTCTGGGCGCGCAGCTGCCTCCGTCAGGCTCTCTTCCCCCGCCTCGCGCAAGCGCCACAAGCCGCCGGCGCCGACCGGGAGCGCTGCGGGGAGGATGCTCCGCGACCGGTAGCTTGTGCGCGCCTTGCCGGCTCCTCGTGCCGGGGACGGTTGGAGGAGGCGCGCCGCCACCGCCATGCGCCAAGCTTTGGCTCCGCCGCGCTCCAGTGCCATCCCGCTGTCCACCTCGCTCGGTGAGTGGCTGGCAAGGACGGTGAGGGATCGGGGAGGCAGAAGGGCGGCCCGGCTGGAGGATCGGGCGAGACCCCGAGGGCCCTTTTCCAGCGGGGCAAAGCGCGCCCGGGCTCCGTGCGTAATTGGAGAGGTCGGTTGGGCGCGCTCTTGGGGTCCCTCGGTCAGCTGGAGAGGTGTGTTGATGGCTTCAGGGCCAGGGGGGGTTATTCACCCTCTCCCTTTCCCTTCGTTCCACCTCTTCCTGCCCCCCCCCAATTTCCAAGACACCCGCTTCCCTTCCCCCGCTCCAAATAAGGGAGAGGGTTAAATCTCTGGATTTGGAGCAGCTGGCCTGAACGTGAAGGGGTTTCCAGTGTAAAGAGTTTCCTGGGTGGCAATGGTCCTCTTGCACGGTGTGCGTGTGGGGAGGGGGGAGAAAATGATGGGGGCAAGCCCCCTCTGTGCCCCTTGGAGCTTTCCCAGGAAATTCAGGATAGTGCCAAAAATAGATAAGCATTTGAAGAAAGAGGGAGGGAGCTGGCCCGCAAAATTGAAAGCACCCCAATGAAAGGTGACACCGCCCCTCCTCTCTTCAGAACTAGGGTGCTTTCCTTTCCTCCCAGTTATTTAAAATGATCTCTCCTTCCTTGTTTTCCCTTTTGGAATAGCAAAAGAAGGGGAGACCCCAAGTTAGCTGTTGCTTTTGGGGTTCAGATCATGGATGGGTTGGTCACTTGGTCCAGCGGTGGGATTCGAAAATGTTTACTACCAGTTCTGTGGGCGTGGCTTGGCGTGGCTTGGTGGGTGTGGCTTGGTGGGCATGGCAGGGGAAGGTTACTGCAAAGTTTCCATTCACTCACCACTCCTATGGGATGGTTACTGCATGATCCCCGTTCCCTCCCCACCCCACTAACCTGCTTTCCAGCTCCGTTCTCCTGTGCAGGGCAACCAAAGAAGACCCAGCCAATCAGCTGGGACTTGGGAGGCAGAGGATAGATGGGGGCGGGGCCAGTCAGATGTGGGATTTGCCGGTTCTCCGAACTACTCAAAATTTCTGTTACCGGTTCTCCAGAACTGGTCAGAACTTGCTAAATACCACCTCTGACTTGGTCCCTTTCATTCTCACGTCCCTGTTCTGTGGTTTCTTCAGGGGATGAGTGAACCTAACCCAGCTGGCCACCTTGTGGGTCGGTGACCTACAATATGTGGCCACCATTCACCTTCTAGAGAAAGTTGTCTCAAAGCTTCACAGCCCCTGCTTTGTAGGAGCTGGGATGAAGATTCGGTTCTCCGGACCTTCTGAGAACCCCAATCTTCATTTTTGGGGTAACATAAGTGGATTTCCCTATGAGTGGTGCAGGGGTGGCCTAGAGGTGGAGCTCTCGCCTCACAATCGGGGAAGCTGTGAATTCGATCCTAGGCAGAGGCAGATATTCCTCTCTCTGGGCACGTTGAGAATATATCTGCTGAATATAACTTCGTAATGGCAACAGGAAGGGCATCCAGCCAGTAAAAATGGGGTCCGTTGGTCTGGAGAATTCTGGAGAACAGGTGCACCTGACCCACCAGGTTGAATATAGAAATATACCAGGTGGTTTTAAGGTGCGTTTGAAAGTGGGAAGAAAGCCAGAATGCCAGCACAGATCTGAATTGCAGAAGCCGGAGATGTTCCTCCTCTGTGATTTAATATTTAGATGTTCTGTCATTCATTAAACTTATTTATTAGATCTATGGCCAGCCTTTCCTTCAGGAGCTCAAGGTGACTTAGGCAGCTCTCCCTCCTCTTGTTTTTCCCCACACCAACAACCTTGTGAGATACGTTGGAAGGAGAGAGGAAGTCTGGCCTAGAATCATCCAAAGAGCTTCCTCAAGCTTGAAGCTAGGTTTGAACTTGGTTCTGACAACTAAACCATCATATGGTATAAAACCAGGATTCCTTATCATCTTTAAAGGTAGAGGTTCCCCTCACACATCCATGCTAGTCATTTTCGGCTCTAGGGGGCAGTGCTCATCTCCGTTACAAAACTGAAGAGCCAGCGCTGTCCGAAGACGTCTCCGTGGTCATGTGGCCAGCAGGACTAAACGCCGAAGGCGCACAGAACGCTGTGACCTTCCCACCAAAGGGGCCCCTATTTTTCTACTTGCATTTTTTATGTGCTTTCAAACTGCTAGGTTGGCAGAACCTGGGACAAGGAGCGGCACTAGGGATTCGAACCGCCGAACTGCCGACCTTTCTGACTGACAGGCTCAGCGTCTTAGCCCCTGAACCCCCGTATCCTTTTATCATCTTTAGGTTGTTCTTTTCAAAGGGGGGGGGGAGGAGAATAAAAACAATAAAAACACCTTTTGTTGGTAGAACGTTGATTTTGGATGTTGAAGGTTTTCCTTGTAAAAGGTGAAAGTCAACTTGTCCCTCTGCTCTAACTAGAGTGGAGAACACTGGAAATCCATAACTAGATGTTAACAATGTGTACGAACATGTAATATGTTCAGAAGTCTTCTTTCATGGCCCAAAGGTGCTTTTTCAACAGGCAACTGGACTTTCTTGGGTTTCTTCCTTGAAGACGTTTCGCTTCTCAACCAAGAAGCTTCTTCAACTCTGGCTGGATGGTGGAGAATGGAAGGATTGATCCTCCTTGCAGATGGTCAATCATTTGCATCCTTTTAGAAGGTCATTGAGGCCACTTGGAGGTTTATCTGTGTCACCTGAGTAGTGCAAATGGGTGTGAAGTGGCCTCAACGACCCTCTAAAAGGATGCAAATGACCAACTCTCTGCAAGGAGTATCAATCCTTCCATTCCCCATCTTCCAGCCAGAGCTGAAGAAGCTTCTTGGACGAGAAGCGAAACATCTTCAAAGAAAAACAAGGAAGTCCAGTTGCCTCTTGGGGAAAAAAAAACACCTTTGGGACATTCTCAGATGAGAAGTGAAATGTTTTCAAGGGAAAAAAAAAATCCCCAAGGAAGGTCCATTTGCTTTTTGACCTATATTACACGTTTGTACACATTGTTAACATCTCTTCAACCTCCTGGATGATTGAGAGCCTCCATAGATGTTCAGAAAGAATCTTTTTAGGACTCCCTCAGGGAAGTTGAGCAGAACACGTGGCCGGTGGAAGTGGCCTCTTGGTGGACTACTTGACAGAAACAGGCCCGTCCTTTTATTGTTATCGCTCTGTGTCTCTTTCTAGGGTCTTTCAACAGAAGGAAGCGAAATTCGCTCTATGTCACCGTGAGTCTCCTCATCGTCTCGCTCCTAATTCTCACCGTGGGCCTCGCTGCCACCACACGGACTCAGAACGTGACCGTTGGGGGTTACTACCCCGGAGCTATTGTAAGTATAGAGTTCTTAGACTGGGGAAAAAATCCTGGATCTTGATTATTCTCACTGTCAGTTTCTCCTTATTTCCAGGTTGAATCTCTTCCTTGTTCAGTTTCCATCCATTATTCCTTGTCTGGCCTTCAGGTGCCTTGGAGAATAGCTTGACCCCCTCCTCTCAATGGCAGCCCCCCAAATACTGGAATATCGCTATCCTGTCTCCCCTGGTCCTTCTCTTTCCTAGACTAGCCATGCCCAGTTCTGCAACTATTCATCATATGTTTTAGCCTCCAGTCCCCTCATCCTCCTGGTTGCTCTTCTTTGCACTTTTTCTAGAGCCTCAACATCTTTTTTATAATGTGGTGACCAAAACTGGATGCAGGATTCTAGGTGTGGTCTTACTAAGGCTTTATAGAGTGGTTTTAGTACCGGTTTGGTACGGGTTTGCCCAAATCGGGACGAACCGATAACATCCCACCCCTGCTTACAAGCAATTAACGATGGTTTGAAGTGGGAGTAACAGGGATGTTAACACGATGCCCAGAATAGCAAAGTTTCTTCGGGGCAGAGAAAATTGCTGTGTTCGTATGACGTCCGAAGCATTTCCTTCGTCCTCTTTTCTAAGCAGGAACAATCTTAACATAACAGCAGGAAGGGAATGATTGATGTTTTGGAACAGGCCAAGGACAAAGAAATGGAATCAGGGGAAAGATATTTACCATCAATTGTCATACAGCTAGTCCTTGCCTTATGGCCACAACTGAGTTGGCACTAAGTGCACTAAGACCGTTGTTAAGCGAACTCTTCCCCATTTCACCTTTCTTGCCGCCTATTAAGCAAATTGCTGCAGTGAGTAACACGGTTGTAAAATGAAACTGGCTTGCCTATTGGCGGAGGGGAATGGTTGGACTAGGTAACCTACTAGGTCCCTTATTCTGTGTTCTGTTGACTTTGCTTGTCAAAAGGTTGCAAAATGACCTCAGGGCACTGCAACCGTCATAAACGTGAATCAGTTGCCAAGCATCTGAATTTTGATGAAGATGCTTCTTCAAAAGTGTGAAAAACAGTCGTAAGTCACTTTTTTCAATGCCTTTGTAACTTCGAATGGTCAGTAAGTGAACTATTGTAAGTTGAGGACTACCTGTATACATATTTAGGTCTGTGCTTCCCCATAATTGTCAATCCCCATTATTTTTCCCTAAGACCGACTCAACTGGCTCAGTCTTAGCTGACCAGGAGAAAACTAATAAGCTCAAATATTTATAATTATATTATCATATATTGCCTGATCCGTCCGTGTTCCCATAGATGCCGGCATCAAAGTATTGAACTATTTTGTTGACGTGAGTTTATGCTTTTCCTTCCTACTCTTGTTTCCAAATTTGACTCTGCCGAAAAAGCAACTGACTTCCAGGCCAGAACGTAATTTTTTTTAAAAATAATCTTTTCCCTTTCAGCTGGGCTTTGGATCGTTCCTTGGCATTATCGGATCCAATTTGATAGAAAATAAAAGACAAATGGTAAGTCGTTTCCCGCTGGGGAAGTTACTTCTCTGTTTGTGTGACATAATTTTTTTTTTAATACATTTTTTCTTTCGCTTCCCTTACTTCCGAAATTGACATTTCTGCCTGGTTATTCTGCCGTTCTTTTTTGACGCTTAATTTGATGAGCAGGAAGTTCCGTAACATGGAGAGATGCTTTTTTCCTCTGCTTAATCAAAGCAATTTATAACTCAAGAGTAGACATCTGTCACAAGCCAAGATTACAGCTTAATCCTCTTGAAAATGAAAATGACCCACCTGACCATCTCAATACTGAACTCTGTGTATTGAGTGAAACTCATGACATAATCCAGCCTTTGCTGGAGACTAAAACATACGATGAACGGTTGCAGGAACCGGGCCTGGCTAGTCTAGGGAAGAGAAGGATCAGGGGAGACAGGATAGCAGCCTTCCAGTATTTGAGGGGCTGCCCCAGAGAGGAGGAAGGAGGTCAAGCTATTCTCCAAAGCAAGAGGAAGGAAGAAAGGAAGGAAAATAGAGAAAGAAAGACGAGAGAGAAAGACATCTGAGGAAACCATGGATGGACAGAAGATATGTCTAATTTAAGGAAAAGAAGGATGGGGTGACATGATAGCACCTTCCAATATCTCAGAGCTTGCCACAAGAGATGTAAAAAAGATGTGGAGACTCTAGAAAGAGTGTGAGAAGAGCAACCAGGATGATTAGGGGACTGGAGGCTCAAACATACAATGAATGGTTGCAGGAACTGGGCCTGGCTAGTCGAGGGAAGAGAAGGACCAGGGGAGACAGGAGAGCAGCCTTCCAATATTTGAGGGGCTGCCACAGGGAGGAGGAAGGGGTCAAGCTATTTTCCAAAGCACCTGAAGGCCAGACAAGGAATAATGTATGGAAACTGAACAAGGAGAGAGATTCAACCTAGAAATAAGGAGAAACTTTCTGACAGTGAGAACAATCAACCCATGGAGCAGAAGTTGCCTTCAAAAGTTCTGGGAGCTTCATCACTGGAAGCTTTCAAGAAGAGACTGGACATTATAAAAAGATGTCGAGGCTCTAGAAAGAGTGCAGAGAAAAACAGCCAAGAGGATTCAGGGGACTGGAGGCTCAAACATACAATGAATGGTTGCAGGAACTGGGCATGGCTAGTTTAGTGAAGAGGAGGACCAGGGGAGACATGATAGTGGTCTTCCAATTTTTGAGGGGCTGCAATAGAGAGGAGGAGGAGGGAGCCAAGCTAGTTTCTAAAATACCCAAAGGCCAGACAAGGGATAATGGATGGGGAACTGAACAAGGAGAGATTTAACCTGGAAATAAGGAGAAATTTTCTGACAGTGAGAACAATTAATCCATGGAACAGAAGTTGCCTTCAGAAGTTGTGGGAGCTTTACCACTGGGGGCTTTCAAGGGGAGATTGGACTGCCATTTGTTGGGAATGGTGTAAGGTTTCCTGCTTGGGCGAGGGGTTGGACTAGATGACCTACAAGGTGCCTTCCAACTCTGTTAAACTATGAATCACGTAAACTTCAGCGCACCTAGCGTGGGCCAAGATTTCAGCCACAGCTCACTGTTTGCCCCTGTTGTTGCAGAACCCAGAAGTTGGCTGGAGACAAGAGCAAGGAAATTAAGCAGTTAAGTTAAGCAGGAAGTAAGATTGGGTTACAAGCCCTCCTTGTTCCATCAGAGTTCTCATATCAGTTGACCAGTGATCTCAGAATGACCCCTTCTCTTTCTGTTGTTTTTTTTAAAAAAACTCAAAACAGAGACTGAGACGTTCGCCCAATTAAGCAACTATGCAATATTATACACCAGTGGGTTCAAATTGTATTTTTAACACACCAGAAACTAATGAGGGGTGTTGAAATCACTGAATTAACTAGCATTCATGACTTCTTCCAACTATTTTTGATTTCTCCTCTATAAGCGGAAGGCGGACTTTCTTGGCTGAGATCAACCGTGGCCGGATATTTCAAACCCTGCCTAGCGAAGCCTATTTTTGAAGGGATGTTCTTAGGAAGAATGCCACTTGATTCCTGATCAAGGAGGAGATGAGTCAGAGAGTTAACCCTGAGCTTTCAGACAACTTTCTGCTTAATATCTTTGCTGGGGATTGAAGTCACAAACTCAGGCTCCCAGAGAAAGGATTCTGTAGGGAATCTCACTCTGTATATAAAAGCGAAATATACCCCTCACACACCATCACAAAATCTCCAGAGCCGTAAAGCCTACAAACTTGACATTTGGCACATATGTTCCTCTTGGCTTCTAGGTGCTCACTAAGAAAGGATTTTTTGAAATGACCATCAGAGCATTAGTATTTTCTATATTATTATTATTATTATTATTATTATTATTATTATTATTATTATTATTATTATTATTATTATTATTATTATTATTATTATTATTATTAACACGCTCTGATGCTAAGGAGTTCTACTCCCCCTGCCCACCTGGAGTCCATCTAACTTGGCACCTGTTGACTCAGGTGAGCAACAGCTTTCTTGCTTCTTAAACTGCAACCTTTCTACTACTTGATTGACTCAACTGGAAGATGAGGAAGTTAGATCTGGCTCTTGTGCCACGTACAATACTTCCACTACTTATTTTTATTTACTGAATTTATTGGCCGCCCATCTTACCACAGGATAACTCTGCACTTCTTCCTAACTTCTTTAAAATTTCTGGACAGCCCCTCCCCCCTCCAAACAAAACCCCTAACGATTAACACATGTTTGGTTGTTAAAGGCCCAGCAACTGTATTTGTACGAGGTATAGCATTTTGTTGGTTTTAACCTTACTTTGGCTTGGAAGAGTAGGTTTTGGTTTAACATGAACAAGCTGGGCTTATTTGATAATCCAGTGTGTTATATAAACTCAGGAAGTGGGTCCCTTACAGAGGTGGTATTCAGCCGGTTCTGACCGGTTCTCGAGAACCAGTAGCAAAAATTTTGAGTAGCTCAAAGAACTGGCCAATCCCACCTCTGACTGGCCCCACCAACCCCATCTCTTCTCTGCCTCCCATTGAGTCCCAGCTGATCAGCTGGGTCTTCTTTGGTTGCCCTGCTCAGGAAAACGGAGCTGGAAAGCAGGTGAGTGGGGTGGAGAGGGAAGGGGGATTTTGCATATATCCTTCCATTGCCATGCCCACCAAGCCACACCCACAGAACCGGTAGTAAAAAAAAAAAAATCGAATCCCACCACTGGTCCCTTCCATAGGCCAGTTAGAAGTTGTTTTACTATTTCTTATAGTCAAAAAATCTTTGGCCCAGAGAAGTTCCTCCAGTTGGCTGGCAAGGCACTTGATGTTGTGTCTTCCCTGGAGGGGGTTGAGGGAAGGTTTCCTCATGTGAAGAAGGGAAATTCTGTCAACTCCTAGCATCCCAGATCCATCCATTGTATCTGAAGTCTCTGCATCTCTTAGTTCAACGGGGAGCATTCTAGCCGGTTTCCATGGCTACTCTCCTTGGTGCAGTTTAGGGAAGAAGGGGTGTGATGGGTGCAGATAGGGCCTTCATCTCTTGGTTCATCAACTCAAGGGTGGCTTTGACCTCTTTTTAACCAGTCCTCAATCCATCCATTGCCTGCCCCCACCCCCACTGGAAAGAAGAGCCTAGAATCTGGATTATGTCATCAACTGCCATGAACAAAGAGAGGCTGTGTGATTTTTACCCAGAGAGAAAGAAAGAAAGCAGATCCGTCTAACCTGGTTAGACGCCATCTTTGGGCTTCGTTTGAATGGCCAGAGGTACTTTGGGGGGAGCCTCCCCTTGAGCTGAAAAACGGAGAGCCAGGAGAAAGAACCAACCCTGAACGGTTATCTGGATTTCTTTTTCCCTCTCTGGACTGTCTCAGACAGTGCTACGGGACAATACCATGATAACATCTAATAAACCACCATGAAACAACAAACCCCATCCACGGGCTTCACTTCCTCCTCCTCTTTCTTCCTCTCCTCTCTCTCCCTGATTGCGATTCTGAACTGTCATTCAAAATCGTGCTTCGTCACGGGAAAAAGGAAGAAAAATATAAATGGAAACATTTAGTACCTTGGGGTGGACCATCAGGGGATAGTAACACAGGTGTAAGAGCAAGTGTCCAGGAGGCCAATGAGGTGTGGCCAGGCAGCCAGATTCCCTTAAGTGACCAGTTGACCAGGAAGTGATGTTGGGATGAACAAATCTCTATTGTTCTGTTCCGTGTTGCATTCTCAGCTGTTCTTCCAGGGTTCTACTCCTCTGTGTTCTGTCTCCGTGTCTCAGAACAGGTTGGTGCCATCACCAAGGGACGTAGGAACCATCATGGCAGTGGTGGGATTCACAAAATTTTTTACTACCGGTTCTGTGGACATAGCTTGGATGTGGCGTGGCTTAGTGGGCAAGGCAGGGGAAGGATACTACAAAATCCCCATTCCCTCCCACTCCTGGGGGAAGTTACTTCAAAATCCCATTCCCTCCCCACCCCCGCTAACCTGCTTTCCAGCTCTGTTCTCCTCTGCAGGGCAACAAAAGGAGACCCAGCCAATCAGCTGGGACTCGGGAGGCGGAGAATAGATGCAGGCGGGGCCAGTCAGAGGTGGGATTTGCCAGTTCTCCGAACTACTCAAAATGTCCGCTACCGGTTCTCCAGAACTGGTCAGAACCGGCTGAATATCACCTCTGCATCATGATAGTAGGAACTAAAGAAGTCTAGTTGTGAAGCTGTTCAAATTGTTAGTAGATACATCCTTGTGGTAAACTAATTGCCTTTTCACCCAAATGATGAGAACATAGGCAAGCAAGACACAAATTCCACATTCTTGAGAGCTCCAAAAGATACGTAGGATGAGAAAAAAATCAATACATGATAAGACAAAAACCTCCCACAGAAAGCTATGCCCAACAGAGGTATTTAAGACAATGCTAGCAACAGCAACATCATTTAGACTTATATACCGCTTTACAGTACACTCTCTCTAAGCGGTTTACAGAGTCAGCCTCTTTCCCCCAACAGTCTGGGTCCTCATTTTACCCTCCTCGGAAGGCTGAGTCAACCTTGAGCCTGGTGAGATTTGAACTGCCAAATTGCAGGCAGCTGGCAGTCAGCAGAAGTAGCCTGCAGTACTACACTCTAACCACTGCACCACCAAAGCTCCTAGATTTTAAAAATACATACTTGGATAGAAAAAATGATAAAGGAACACATAGATTTAAAACCAGAAATATTTCTGTTGGGTATCATACCAGAAAAATATAATAAAGGGACTATGTATTTAATATTACATGTGTTAACAGTGGCCAGAAGGCAATGCGCATACATGCCATAGGTTCACCATCACAGGACTAGCACGTATGTGCGAGGGGAACTGTAAGGTCCCAACCTTTACCTTAGTTCTCAACTTACAAACACAAAATTGAGTAGCTCCTGGGATAAAAGTTATTGAAATATTTGTTGGTGTGAGTTTATGCTCAGTGCAGTTGTCCCTTTCAGCGGTCACTAAATGAACCATTTTAAGTCGGCGTAGGCTTTACCCTCGATGGAGCTGCTCTCCAAAAGCTCGCGGCAAGGAATGCTGGTGGGTTCTTCAAATAGCTCTTGGAGTGTGTCAGGAGGCAGAAGAAGGGCTGTGTCATGGCCCTGGCGGAGACTGACTCTGAGGAAGAGGAGGAACAGCCGACAGGGAGTGGAAATGTGGCTCCGGAGGTGGTGGTGGAGGAGGCTGGGGAAGGGCAGAGGTTGACTGGGAAGTCAAAGGAGGACCCAGGCCCATCCCCTCTCCATCCTAGGGCACGCAGGGAGGAGAGGATCAGGGTAAAATGTGGTCTACTCAGGAGGAGAGGGCCGTGATCCTCTTCATAGGTTGCAGGTGTGAGATTTGCATAAGAGTTTGGACCTGCGTGCTAACAGACGCTGGAGACAAATTAGCGTTTTATTCCTAAAGAAGGTTTTTTGTTTTAAAGAAGGTTGGTGTTCTTCCAATGGACTGTCCCTGGCTATCTTCCTGAAGTTGGCAATTATCTATCCTGGTCTGTCGTGGAACTTTATTCAATGCGGTTTGTTTTTGGTTTTTGCTTCGTTATCGGCTCTTTGAATTTGAACTGTGGTTTTTTTTTCCTTTGAAATGTTATTTTGAAAATAGTTTACTCCTCAAAAATGTTAAAATAGTAATAAGATATGGAATAGAACACAAAGACGAATATGACATTGAGTTTGTGTCTGTTTGGAGAAGTGATAACCCGGGATCATGCTATTCTCAAAAAAGAGATGTTTGATTTGTATTATGTTTTTGTGAAAACCAAAATAAAATTTATATTAAAAAAAAAAGAAAGAAAATAGTTTAGTCCTCCACTGTGGCCAATTAAACAGTGAAGCCAAGTTGAAGGCATTAAAGGACTTTTAGCTACGTTTTGGGTTTTGTTATATTTCTGAGATACTCTGGGGTCATCACAGGCTGCCCGCTGCAGATGACACGCCAGCCCTTTGGAATTGACCACTTTTTTCTCCCTGTGCTTCCCACAGCTGGTTGCCTCCATCGTGTTCATCAGTTTCGGCGTCATCGCTGCTTTCTGCTGCGCGATTGTGGACGGCGTGTTTGCTGCCAGGCATATCGTGAGTACGGATCCAGAGGGTGGGAAGTTGGCAAAATATGGCCATTTGAACTGTTTTAAAAAGACTTTTCTTTTTACAGGACCTGAGGCCACTTTATGCCGGACGCTGTCACTACTATGCCAAAAGTACAACTCAGCCCAAAGTAAGTTAGCCTGATTTTTTTTTTAATCTCTCTGGAACCAAATTTTCCTCTTTCTTTAGAAATGTAGCTATGATTTTGTTCTGTTCTGTTCATTTTATTTTATTCTTTTCTTTTATTCTTTTACTTTTACTCTACCTTACCTTACCTTACTTTACCTTATTTCACTTCACTGTATTGTATTGTATTCTTTTATTGTTGTTGGCGGGAGGAACCAGGAACCAAATACTCTTCCCAGGAGTCACGCCTTATCAAAAATGGTTTGGATGTCCAGTGAGAGGTCCTCCTTATGCTAGCTTTGCTGTATGCAGGGCCAAAGTTAAATGTATCCGATGTGTGCCACATCAAGGGTTCCTTTACAGCAATAAGAAAAATTATGCAAAGCTAGAAAAGGTGGCACACAGAACCATGCATACCCCACTGTGCAGGTGCTTGCCTCACAGCTGATTTTCAGCAGGTTTGAGGCCTTTTTCGGCCTCCCAAAGGCTTGAGGAAGGCTTCTGCAGGCTTTGCGGGCCTAAAACTAGCCCCGTTTTGTCACTTCCTGTTTTTTCTGAAAATACCGGAAGTGACAAAATGGGGCTAATTTCCAGCCTGCAGAAGCCAACCTCAAGCCTTTGGGAGGCTGAAAAAGGCCTCAAACCGACTGAAAATCAGCTGTGAGGCGCAATGTAGGTAAGGAGGCAGTGGGGGATGGGTATTGCACGGACATGTGTAAGGGGCATGGGGGGGGCCGTGCATTGCCTTCTGGGTGTTGGCACATGTGTGTGTGCGTGCAAGCGCGCACACAATTTTTGGCACGGGAGCCCAAAAAGGTTAGCCACCAATGCTTAAGCAGCGGGTTAGATTAGAAGACCTCCAACTCTTGGTATTCTGCATACTCCCCCCAAAAGGGCCTCTTCGCTGCTTCTCTCTTTCCCGCAGACCATTTGCCACCCGCAGCCTCGGAGTTCCTGCATTCCCAAAATCAGAACCAACACCTGTTTTTGTTGTGACTTGTACCACTGCGGAAGGTGAGTGGCACAGATGGCACCGTAATGCCACCCAACAATTTGTCGTGGCGGGTCTCAAGCTAAGAGACCTTTGCAGTCTCTCAAGGAGGGAAAGACTGTTTGAGATTGGGTTTCATGCTTTGGGGGGTGACATTTCTCTGCGGACCATCAGCATTTTCTCTCAGACCACCAGTGGTCCCCGGCCCACTGGTTGGTGACCACTGCTCCACAGCAAGTCTCTCTCGTCCTTTCAGATTTGGTTTTGGTAGCCAAAGTGTTCTGACCCAGATCCCCAAACATGACAAACCCTCTGAAGTGAACTCAAAGATTCCTTTATTAGGAGCGCCAGCAGCCCCGGCAAAATGTTTCTATCTCACCGCAGGCTAACAAGTCCAGCCAGAAAATGAATAGTTGTCTGCCACATCTATTCGTGTGCCTTTTATTCCCCCCAGAGCTAGGGGGGCTTCGCTAGCAGCAGTGGCTCTTCCGTCCCAAGGACCGGCCCATAGATTTCCACTGCTCTCCTCTCCTCTGCCTTCTGTGCATCCGTGTGTCAGGCACTGGTTCCTCTTTCTCCTCAACCACCTCCAGACTTGGGGGTTGTTGACTCTCCATCTGAGGGCTGATGGATGGCCCAGGCTCTGTCTGTCTCCTTCTCTCTCTGACAGCTCCATTTCCTCTTCCTCTCGGAGCTCTCAGGTTGCCTTGATGCTGTCCTTGACTCCTATGCCCCCTCCTCATCTGATTCTGCTGCCGACAGGCCACAACACAAAGTACACGCCAAACTGTAAATGCCAGGTCCTCCTCCACAAGCAAACCTGGTTTGCTTCGTTAGCCGATGCCCCCCAAAATGGTCGTTTGGGCCCCCTCGAAGTCTTATTCATCTACTTTCCCAATCTGACATGTTGTTCTCTAGTTACGACTGTGACAGAGCCTTCCCCTCGCAGTTGTAAATCAAGTCGTCCATGTGAACAGCCTGGTTTTACCATCTTTTCTGCCATAGTTATTTTTTAAAAAATGTAGGAAGCTGGGTGGTTTAGCTTTGATGCCGTTGAGAACGTTTGCTTCTTTTGGTCCATCAGATTGGAAATTTCTGGCGGTTATTATGAATTCATCGATGTGAACAGTTGCCAAGATATCGTCCATCTCTACCATTTGTTGTGGTCGGCAACGGTGTTGAATATCTTGGGTTTGGTTCTAGGCATCATCACGGCGGCCATTTTGGGTGGTTTTAAAGATATGGTAAGTCTGAATGCCGGTAAGAAGTTAGTTCCATCTCAGAGGCTTTTAGACAAACCAAATGAAGTATTGCAGGCTAATTCTGCCCACTGGCAGGAGTTCGATCTTGATTGGCTCGAGGTTGACTCAGCCTTCCATCCTTCTGTGGTAAGTAAAATGAGGACCCAGATTGTTGGGGGCAACAGGCTGACTCTGTAAACCGCTTAGAGAGGGCTGTAAAGCACCGTGAAGTGGTATATAAGTCTAAGTGCTGTTGCTATTGCTAAACTAATAATAGACTGACAATGTGGGTTTAAACATCTCAGTGGTTTTCTATCCAGGTGGTTCTTAACTTAATGACCACCACTGAGCCCAAAAATTCTGTTGCTAAGGAAGGCAGCGAGTTGTGGCTCATTTTACGACGGAAGGAAGCAGGAAGTAACTGGGTTTAGAGAAAACTACACCATAAGGCAGGGGTCTCCAATCTTGGCCACTTTACGACTTGTGGACTTCAACTCCCAGAATTCCTCAGCCATTTTATGACAGACCCTTGGTCCGCTTCCTACACCTCCTACTTTGTATTTGAGTTTTTCTTCCTTCCCATCACTCCCTACCTCCTTCAGTGGCTTTGTCTTCGGGTCCATGCTTGAGAATTATGCTGGCTGGGTATTCCGGGAGTTGAAGTCCAATTTTGGAGAGCCCTGATTTAAAACTACAATCCCTATTGTTCCCAACCAGGGCATTAGCTACGCCGGTTAAGGGTTATCACAGTTTGGGCCCGGAGCATCTAGAACAAGGGTCTTCAAACTTGGCAAATTTAAGACTGGTGGACTTCCAACTCCCAGAATTCCTGAGCTAACATGACTGGAAGAGGAATTATGGGAGTTGAAGTCCACAAGTCTTAAAGCTATCAAGTTTGAAGACCCCTGATCTAGAGGGTACCAGGTTGGGGAGACCTGGACGAGGTCTTCTGATTAGATCATAGAGTCTTCTCTCTTCTTTGTTTTCAGATTCCCGCTCATCCTACTCTTACGTGCACGGTCGAAAACACCCGGCCCACTGTGTCCTATTACTCTCGACCCCAGGTGGCCTCATACAACACCTATCACAGCACCCCTCACCTGCCACCGTATTCAGCGTATGACTTCCAGGTACAATACCCCAGGCGATAGCTTTTTCTTCATTCCCATCCAGCTGGGAGCAGACTCTCTTTCATTGAAAGCTTTTTCTACAAGTTTAGCAACCCATTGAAGTTACAATAGCCCTGGTTAAGGCGGCCTGCAGCTATCGTTCACTTCATTGCAACCTCTCCGCAGTCATGTGATCAACATTCAGAGGCTTGGCAACTGGCATGTACTTATGACAGTTGCAGCAGCCCGGGCGGGGGGGAGGTATCAAGTGATTCCTCTTTTGTACCATTCGGACAGGTGAAGCCAGATTCACTTAACATTAACTTGTATTTTATTCCAAGAGAAATAGAAATAGAAGTAGAAATAATAGAAATAGAACAGAACAGGAGCAGAGCAGAGCAGAACAGAACCAGAATCGAACCGAACCAGAGCAGAACAAAACCAGAGCAGAGCAAAAACAGAGCAGAGCAGAAACAGAACAGGACAGAACCAGAGCAGAACCAGAACCAAACAACAGAACAACTGAACCAGAACAGAAACAGAACAGAAACAGAGCAGAGCAGAACACGATTCTTTATTGGCCAGGTATGATTGGAAAAACAAGGAATTTGCCTCCTGTGCATAAGCTCTCAGTGTACATATAAATGGTGTAAGGTTTCCTGCATGAGCAGAGGGTTGGACTAGAAGATCTCCAAGATCTCTTCTGTCTGTTATTCTGTATTTTTTTTTCTCTCTCTGTCTGTCTTCCGTTCCCCTTGTAGCATTCCAGCCTCTTTGCAACCTCCAGCCCATCCGGCCTTCCGGAGGATCCGCTCTCGTTACCGCCCTCGCCGAGCTTGGTCTGGTCCCCGACCGGTGCTCCCCCTCGTTATTCCCCACCGTATTTTCCACCTTCTGAAAAGCCGCCGCCTTATTCGCCGTAAAGACTGAGAGAAGGGGAAGAGGACGCAAGCCCTTCGAACTTCCCGCAAATCTTTTGTACTGGAAGAAACGAAGGGACATGGCCGGACTTTTCCTCAGTTTCCTTTCTCGCGTCCATCGCTCTTGAGCCAGAGGGTGTTTCCAAATTTGACAACTTTTTAAGACGTCCAGACTTCCGACACCCACGGCTGGCTGGGGCATTCTGGGAGTTGAAGCCCACACACCTTAAAGTAGTGGCCAATTTTGGAGATCCCTGCACAAGAGGGATTCAAAAGTGCCCCGGATCCTTGCTTGTTTTTAAATGATGGTGGGAGATTTAACCGTTGGCCTGTTCTTTTTTTTAAAAGAAGTTGCTTTTTTTTTCATGGTCCCTTTGAGTGAATTGCTTGTTAAAGATAGCAGTTGGCTATCCAGGAAGATCTTCGGGCCTTCCGAAAATGGGCAATTTGGTTAAACTATTGGAGGGACCACGCTGAGCATTTTCTCAAAACTGACATCGTCTCAAGGAAGTCAGGAGGGCAACTGCAACCCATACAATCCTATTTACTTGGATAAATGGACACACAACAGGGAGCAGAACTTGGATCGACCGATGGTAGCTGCCAGCTTGATCGATTTGTCCCGGATGACTCTGTGAATTGGAACCTCTGCCGAAGGGGCACCATTTCTCCGCTGTTCTTTTAAAGGAAGTCTCAAAGAGTTGGAATGCGTGGAATTAATTCTTTAAAACAGGTGTGGAGAGCGGAGGGATAGCCATACGACTAATCTGCAAATGGCCAAGAATGAGTGCAGGGTGGTTTATGGATTTCAGAGCTGCTGATTGAAGAGTCGGCTCTAATCCTGACACCCAGTGGTAGATTCATTGGTATTGTGTTGGAAAAAGACCAGATTTCTTTTCTTTGAAATAAAAGCTATCCCGGTATTATTCAACCATGGTATCTTTCAAGATAGGTGGACTTCAACTCCCAGAATTCCCCAGCCACAGGGAAAACTATATGCTACTGAAACTCTTATTGTGGTGATCTCTAACTGGATGAAACATTGCCTCGTAGGGCAACTGTTTTTGAACCAAGGTACCTCAAGTGGGCTAATTTATACAGAAATGTGTTCAAAATCCAAGACCCATCACTCCTTTAGGGAAGAAAGTTTGGAAAGATTGTGACTGTTTTGGTACTACCAAGTGCTGCTGCTGCAGCCACGTGATCTTTCTTTTCAATGATCTGTGACAGTTTCCCAGGCAGTCTAGCAATCCCTTTCTGCCTCCACCTAGCAGCAGCCTGGTACGGAAAAACAAATTGGTCCCATCAACAGCTACAGCCATTATATCTAAATCGGAGGTTTCTTTAAAGAAAAGACTTTAAACAGGTGCCTCTTTTATATGTGTGTGAGTGTGCATGTTCACACCCGGAAACTTAGCATGAATAAATGAGTATTTCTACCGCTTTGCACATTCAGTTTACTTGATGCACGCTTGAGAGAAGAGGTGCTTTGTTGAAAAATTGGGAAGCACAAATTATGACGTGGGGAAAAAAGATTGTGCATCTGAAAAGTGGGGTGTTTTACGGGCATTTCTAGATTAAACATTGCTCAATATGCATTAAAGGCAGTGTGACTGACAGGAGCCGTGGCTTAGTCTAGAGAGTGGGTAAGGGAAGATATGTCTGTGATTAATGCAACGATGCAAAATTGCAAATAAACCATCCTTTTTGTTATAAGACCACAGATGATAGTTTCATGCATGTGCCATTTCCCAAACTTCTCATCTTAACGACTTTGAAAACTGAGATGTGTAATTTTAACCAATGTGCCCCCAAATCAATGGCAATTACGTAGATGGGTTCCAGAGTCTTTGGGGGGCCTCAAATTGATGCCTTAACATCATTGCAAACTCAAAAAAAAAAAAGTATAGGTAAATTCCTTAGCCTGTGACCATAACGGAGCCTGTCCATTGTGGACGTGACTTATAATGGCTGTAAAAGGGATCAGACATTAAGCCAATTTGCAGTCATGAATTTAAACCTCGCAGCCCTTAAAACGAACTGGTGGTTCTCTCCGGGTGCAGTTTTGCCGAAAACAAAAGTGTCCGTTTTGAGCCAAATCATCGTGAAACGTGATCACGTGACTATGGGAACCTGCAAACTGCCTTCAAATGCAGCCGTGTTGCTGCCAAACACCCAAAGTTTAATCAAACCTGACTGCAGAGAGAGCCTGACCATCGGAACTTCACATCTGGCCATAAGTCCCTCTTGTAGAATAGAATGGAGCTGGAAGGGACCTTGGAGGTCTTCTAGTCCAGCCCCCTGCTCAAGCAGGAGAACCTATATCATTTCAGACAAGTGACTGTCTCCAGACTCTTCTTTAAAACCTTCGGTGATGGAGTACCTACAACTTCTGGTGGCAAGCTGTTCCACTGGTTAATTGTCCACACTGTTAGGAAGTTTTTCTTTTTAATTCCAAGTTGCTTCTCTCTTTGGTTAGTTTCCATCCGTTGTTTCTTGTTGTTTCTGATGCTTTGGAGAATAGCTTGACTCCTCCTTCTTTGGGGCAGCCCCTCAAATACGGGGACACTGCTATCATGTCGCTCCTAATCCTTCTGTTCTGTCTGTTCCAGACACAAATCCTGCAGCCGTTTTTATTGGACTGGTTGTAACTTCAGTAGCTAAGCAACCAGTTTTTGAGGACTACCTGGTACAGGAAGTCCTTGGCGTATGACCGCAACCAAGCCCAATATTTGTGCTGCTAAGCGGGACAGTTAAGGGGAGTTTTGCTGCATTTTATGGCTTCTCTTGCTGTGGCTGTTAAGTGAATCACCACGACGGTCATTAAGTGTGAAAAACGGTCATAAGCCACTTATTTCAGTGCCATTTGTTAACTTAGAACGGTCACTAAATGAACTGTTGTTAAGTCGAGGACTAGCTGTATACATAAAACCACCGGTGAGCAGACTGGTTTAGGATCGTAACCACATATCTCGACCAACAACGTGGACTTAAGCAATGATGCCTTTCAGTTTATCCCGCAAGGACAAGAGATTTGATTCCAAATTACAAGGATGCCATGATTGTAAAAAGAAAAAAAAAAAGAAAGAAACATTTGCACCTCCGCAGAATTGAAAGGGTTTATTTATTTATTTATTTTGCCATACAAAGCTCTAAGGACTAAAAGTCAAGTATTGGTTAATGAAAAGCAGAACAACAAATTCCCAGAAAAGGTATGTTAAGGGGAAAAAAAGCTGTACAACTATATACATTACAGTACTGTATTGATAAAATTAAAAATAAAAATAAAATAATAATACCGCTCTGTAAAAACAGTCGTTGAAATAAAACCACTGCCCCTTTTTTTTGCATCTTTCGTTTTGCTAATAAGTGATAATGCTTCGGGAGGAAATAAATTAAATCAAGTAGATTATTTTTTTTCCTTATTAATCTCGTCATATACAGGAATGCATGTTAGGTGCAAAGCCACCCTTGAAAAAGGAATCGAGCTTTCTTACACACTCTCCTGCCCCCAGAATAACGAATTCATAACTCAGAAATATCTGCGCAAACCCCACCCCCCAAGGTGGTAAAATATTGGATTTTATACAAACTTCAGGCAGGCATGGCTATCTGAATTCTCTCCGATGCAGAATATCTCTTTCCACAACGATCCAGAAAATGTGACAATCTGGTGGGATTCTACTAGTTTGGAAGTGAACCGGTTGTTACTCCGGTTGAATCCCACCATTGGTGACTGCTAATTTTTTCATCCTGTTATATTGCATGCAAGTTTTCTTTTAGGGGGAACCTAACAAGAAATAAAAAAAAAAAATAGGGATTCTTGCATTCTCTGTTCAGGGCAGGGAAAATTTATAACATTGGTACATCCAAACTCAAGCGGAACACAAAATCAAGCATCGTTGCGCCAAGAGAGACCTACTTGGAATGACTTAACCTACTGTTACCATTTTCGCTTTAGATTTCTGCTCAAGGATGTATTTCACGTTCATCTCTTTAGTAAATGTGTGAGGTTCTTTTGGTGGGGGAGGAGGAAGAAACAATTCATTTAGTAATGGAATTTAGAGGCAATCTTTCCAGAGCTGTTGCCACGATCTTTTTACAAAAATGGAAAAGAGAGAAACTGCTGCTTTAATAAAAAAAACCAACACTCATGAAATGGTGTCAATCAAAATATTTTCAACACCGTAAAGCAAAAAGGCTTTAAGTCTACGTGATAAGATCCCCTTAACTTCGGAAATTTGAGAGTTTTCTTCCTAGGAAAACCAAACTACAACGCAGAGTTGTCTTTCTAACAAGATAAACAGTTTTGAAACTTCGCCTTTCGGTTTGCAAATTAAAACAAAAAAAAAGACACTTTCAACAGGCACTGATTTAATTAATGGTTATCGGGATTTTCTGAGTGGGAGGGGGAGTAGCACGTCCAAGCTGAAAGTTTGACGGACATACAGCAACATAGTAGGTTACTTAGCAAACGTAACACCTTTTGCTATGGACAGCTGAAGGAAGTTAAGTTTCACTTAGCTTATAAAATGCTATGGACACATCAGTGTCTCTTGAAGAGGACAAAAATATACTTGAGATCGACTAACGGTGAGGGTATTTCTTTTAATAAAGTCCCACAAATTATTCACTTAAGTATGCAATGCCAATTTCAAAAGATCATTTCCATTTATAAAAAAAACAAAAACAAAAAAACTTCTAGCCATAATCAAACGTAGTCTCAACTCTACAGAAAAAAAAAAGGCATTCGCTTCTCTTTCTCCCATTATTAGAAACACGATCGGCTCTTTTTTCCATTGTGATTTTCGTACATGATTTTTCATTTTTACTTCACAGTGGAATTTCATTCACTTCCTGGCTGAAAACGATGTTAAAAGAAAGAAAACGACGACACAAAATTAAGGACTAGGAATGACTACTCTGAATACAAAATAGAGACTTCAGGAAAAGGGGAAAAGAAGAAGGAAGAAAAGAATAGTTAAAGTGATGAGGACAGGAGATTTTTCCATGACAAACCACCAATTGCTAGCTAATTTTATTCATCACAGTCCTTTTCAACCTTCTATAACACCCACTCCAAATATTATAATTTACAAAAAACAAGGCAAGAGGTTGTTTGAAACACAAGAAAAAACAACAACAAACTCTTGACCACTTATTTGTTGTTATTTGCTCAAATCGAGACCTTGCTTATCGCAGAGCACTGGAAAAGTATATTCCCAATTTGCAACGAAAGGAAAGCATGACCACAAAAGGAAACTCGCGACTAGCCCCCCACTCCAAAAAATAGTCGACCCCTTCTCCATATGGCTGCTGTAAAAAAAAAAAAAAACTAACCAGTCTCTCTCTTTTAAAAAATAAAAAAACTACCCACTCAGTTACAACAACAACAACAAAAACACACCCCATCATTTGCAAGGCTGCTTTGGTAGGAAGCTTCTGAACTGTTCCGGGAAGAAATCTACACAATTAGATTTCTAAATATTTTTCTTCCTCCCAGGGAATAAGACGGGGGGGGGGGGGGGGGGGGGGGAATTAAGGTTCATCCCAAATGGCTAACCTTCTTCTCCTGTAGAAAAAGATCCTGATCTTGTAATGTTTTCCATCTATTCTACTGAGTCCAAAATAAAAAAATAAAAAAATGGTGAAATACAATGGTCCAGCCACTGAGTTATCTTAATCCCTGGGGATAATAAGAAATGGGTGTTAATGTTTTCCGTGGAGAAAGCGTCTTCCTTCTCTTTTAAGGATGGCCCACATGCATTACCAACCACGTACAATTGCTTATCTCAAAAAGCCAACAAGAAATGGCTTACGCCTCTTTCGCCGTTAAAAACTTGGTTTCGTGAAGAGCAAGCACGATTTGGACCCTTATAATGTTCAGTTGCAGGAACGCACCGATTTCTGTTTTTAAAAGGGGGGTGAGGGGTGAGGGGACGACATTTCCTGCTTCCCATCAGCAAGAAAACTTAGCTGTGTGTCTGTTTTGTAGTCACAATGGAACCCCTTTCAGCATTAAAGTGCTAACATGAAAATAAAAAGCGGTTCAAGGAAGAGATATATATTCCTGCTATTCTACACCTAACGGGGGAAACGGTAACTTTTTAGATTTTGATCCGTATGAATAAACGCTGAAACGCCTAACTTCCTAAGCGCCTTGTAACCTGTATTCAAGTATCGTTTTATTTCCTGACCAATATTTTTGTTTTGTTCACAAGTTCAAAAGTTACACATTATCTAATTTTAACACACAACCATAGGCTAAAAGGTCGAAGAAGAAGCACGTGGACGTGTTCCGTTAATAGGAGATGCTCTCTAGATGCTGCCAAGCGGCCCGTTGAGAAAACTCTGGTTT